GATATTTTATTTTTCCCAAGTTATTCTGGAAACCTTGTGACTCTTGGAATCTAGTAATCGTCATTCAATCAAGACCACAAGTGCTTTTGGCTGTATTTTATTTATTTGTTTATTTTTTTCATCTTGAGGTCGTGGAAAGTGACGTATATCAAGATCTAGAATGGTTGGAATAGGTACTTGGGAAGATCTTTAATCAGTTTTTATTAAAGGAAAAATGATTCTATAGAAAATCGTCAATTATAGAGAAGGCGGGTCCAATAGTCGTGTGTTTTGCACACATCATTCTTTTTCTACAAGGCCTATTTTGTGATCTGACCAACTTGATGTAAATTATGATCTCAATTTGGATATATTTCATGAAAGTAGTCATATTTAAATGGCCCAAATTAAAGTTGGATCGAATACGGTTCAAACAAAGGACTACAATGAGAAAAAGTGGCTTTTCAATTTTATTTGTGAATTGACATTCTTAAATATGAAAGTGCATGAACTTTCATGAGATATGGACATTCCTAGTTTATATGTTACCTAGATGTGGAATAAAATTCATTCGGTGAAGGGTGACAGTGCTTACTTCAAATTAAAACTTTGAATGTTTGAAATGATAAACTACATTGTAGTGAACACCTTGTTAAACTTAAGAAGTGCACCATATTGATAATTGGATATCCAATGCAAGGATTCAAACTTGTAAATATATTTTACTATTTAGAGTGCAGTTGTTTCATGGAAATCTACCAAACAACTTGAGATTTGAAAGATTAAATTAGAACTTTCAATAAAGCTAAAAGGAAGCACGATAGCTTTGAAGTTTTTTTTTTCCTAATTGGTGACAATTTGCGCCTATAATGTCATTTGATCAAGATAGCTGGCTACAAATGGAATGACGTAGAATGTCTTGTGTATAATGGTGTGTCTCGACATATATCATCAACATAATATCATAAACCAACTGCTCTCAAATGGAACAATACATATTGTTATATTGAAGAATACCCTATCGGATTTATCTAAAGAGTGAATAAACTGTGCATCAAGAAAAATGGGTGTAAAGCCTAAACTAATGGGTCAGATTAATGGAAACCTAATCTCATGGTTGAAGATACCGACAGAGTAGGTTCAATAGGAAACTAGTTATAATTGACTCGATGAGAAGCACTTCAAAGTTTTAACTCCTCCCATTTTCTATGATGCAAATAAGTGCTACCTACCAAATATTAGTTATGATAAGCTATACTTTTAATGAGGACTATATCTTACAAATAGAACAAGTGGAGTATTGTAGGGTACTCTTTATAAAACATCACCTATATGAGTGTGAAGTTGGCCTGTTCTATGACAATTTTATTTAGGCAAATTCTCTAGCGTACTTGCCGAACAAAGAAGGTTCAAGCCGAAATAATAAATGCAATAGAGAAACAATCTTGTCTAGGCTTACTATAACGATCGACAGTTCAAAATGTTGTATTCACTTATTAACCAAATGAGTCCACTCGATTCTTACGAAGGAAGGTTCAAAGTGAAAGTTACCGATTTTGATAGATTATGTTTATTTGTACTCTTCTTTGTGATCTCTGTTTTGAGAGGATTTCTTTTGTTCACGTGAGAGATTGTTTGAATTAATTGTTTAATATACACTATTTAAATGTGTGAATTGGAAAAGTCTCCAATGGGTGTGATCCTTTAAATAAGGTTCAATCTACATCATTAATTTTGAAATGGTGTGTTATAATGGATAAATTAATTAGTGCCAAAAGACAGAGAAAAATCTATAAGTATGACCCTCCTAATCCCATTTCTTGACTCGAAATCAATTACATTTCATTGATTTCCAGTTCTTCCCTTCTCCAAATTATGTCAAAATAATGTCCGAATTATTTTTGAGTTCGTGTTCGATATTTAGTATTCAATATCTTCTGCTCTAGAAGAATCCATTCAAGCGTTGGTTTGCCTGACAAAAATAATATTGCGCTATATTAATTTTGGAAGAAGCATTTTATACCTTGAGAAACAAACGTCTATTTAATCCAGTTACCACCGGTGCACAGATTTGCATTTGCATATCCTTCATTTTATCGTCTTCTAATTTCTACGTTTCAGTAAGTCGATATATAGTACACGTATCTTGATTTCGGTAAGTCGAAATTTTATTCTATACTTTGCATGTGTAAGTCACTATTTTGCATATTTTTCATGCACGTATTTTTTGTTAATGTAATATAATTCATATACTAATTTATCCAACACTCTTTAGGGCCTTAATTAGAAGATTAAATCGATAGTAATTAAATGTCACAGCATATAATAAATGCACAGAACTTCTACCTCTTGATTACTATAAACTTTGAGACTTAAACATAGTTCAGAAAAAATAAAAACACCTAAGTTCAATAGCCTATAAATAAAATTCCAAAGGAGAAAAACTCCATACATTCCTCAGATTGAGTTATTCAACGCTGCATTCAGTCTGCTGAACACCACCTTCAGTGGGACGCATGCTAAGACTGGTTTGGCAAGCATGTTGACCACCAGTTTCTCCCGTGGTTCTGGCAAATGAGCGAGTGAAGACAACTTCCTGGTCTTTCTCGATGAACCCTCACGCTTCTTCCATTTTCGTGATTTCACTTGTGGGATCAGCTGCTGCAGACTGACATTCTTTGCACGCGGCCTTCCATGTGGCCTCTTTTTAATGACTGTACCACCTTCTAACACGTCAATAGTAAGTGGGTGGCCAACAATTGATTTAGCGTTTAACTTGCTTTTTGGATAAATATATGGAACAGGTTGTGGTTAACGGAGCCTTTCCTCCTCTATAGTGTTAAGAAATATAGGGTTATATTATTTTATTGTTTATGAAGGGTAGAATAGTCTTTTTCAATTTCCTTTATTTAGCCTATATATAGTTTCTTTGTTTATAGTTTAAATCATTCTTTTGTATTCAATTGCATTATGTAGAATTAATAAAACCCCGGCCTCCTTTTCCTTTTCTTTATTTCTTTGGATTGTTTAATATGGTATCAGAGCTGTTNGTGAATTTGGAATTGAGGAATGAGGGTATGGATTTCAATGAAGGGGTTTCAGACGATAGGTTGGGTAAAAGGAAAGAAATAATTTTGGGTATAAAGAATCGGCCAATGCAATCTTGGATTTATAATTAAGCAAATTTTCTTCTGGTGCAACATTGATGGAGTCTTCAGAAGCTCTACGTTTATTTTCTTGGAGACAGGCACCTTCATCGGTGTTATTATCTGGTTCTTGAATCTGGTTCATGGGTTGATTCGACCTCATCACGACCAGTCACATGAACTTCAATTGATTTGAAATAATTTTAGTCCAGAAAAAAAGGTTTGTTTTGACTTGAATTTTGGGTTATCAGAGAATGAGATTAGGAGTTCAGATAACATACTGGGACAGTTTGGGGAAAATGAAAAATTCTGCGCAGAAGAACAGAAGCTGGAGAGGGAAGAGATTGGTGGGGATGATAAGGTTATTTTATTTTATGTGAAGGGTGGTTGGGAAGTTTGGGATCTGTTATGTGGTAATTTTAGGTTTTGTGTTGAATTTTGGGTATTTTGAAGGTTTCTGGGGAAATGGAATTGAATGCGGCTGGTTTTAATTTGAATGAAGGGTTGGATTTAAATGATGATGGGTTTAATAATTTAAATCATGATGTTCAAGAGATAAAGCCTCCTGTTCAGCATCGTAATGACCGTGTGAGTATTATAGGCTCTTCCGGATTCCTAATTTGTCTACGATATACCTTTCAGAAAAGTTGCAGAAAAAAAAAAATTTGTTTTGTGGATTCCGTCTATAGGGTGTCACAGGATACTACCATTCACCCTTGTTGAGATTGAGGCCTATGAGGGCACGAAATACATACATTTTACGTTTAGTTATGGATTCGGATATGACAATGTTACGGATGACCACCATGTTGTGAGATTTGTTTTGGATAACTATAATTGTGAATATGAAGTTAAAGTTTATAGCCTGAAATTGGATACTTGGAAAAAGATTGAGAGTATTCCACTAATTAGTATTTTTTTTGTGAATAGGCCTAAGTTAATGGGCTCAGTGAATTGGCTTGAGTTATGAATGATGAAATTGTTTGGGTTGACCTATGTAGTGGGCTTGAGTTTAATTTGGGCCAATAGTTTTAGTATTGGCAGTGGGCTATTGGTTTTGTGTTGATGTTGAGCTTATGTTTAGGGAAAATTACATAAATCCAGGTACTTAAAAATAACTTTTTAAAAATCAGATTCAAAAGTTATTTATTCAAAAATCAAGTAATATATTAAAAATCTAACCCTAATTTTTCATTCCAACTCCCTCACCTCACCTTTCCCCTTCCCTCTCCCCCGCCTCATCTCCCCTCTCTCCGTCGCCGGTACGGTGCTCGAGACAATTAGACCACCGCCGTCTCCTTCTTCCCAACAATTAGACCTGTCCAGATCCTTCCTCCACCGTCACCACTCCCATCAACTTCTGTGTGGCCTCCATTTCCTTCCTCCAATGTCACAACTCCCATCAATAAACATAAATTTATACACAGATCTATGAGTAATGGCGACTTCATCTTGGCTTCCTCATCCTCGCCATAGATTAGCTCTTTTCCAGCGGCGAACTCTGCCAGGCAAATGGCGCAGTTAGAGAACTTCTTGGCTTCCTCATCCTCGCCATAGATTAGCTTCTGTATGGACTTCAAAACCTTCTTTTTGAGTCCTTTCATGGCAGGCGTGGATGGAATTTATCATAGATGGAATTGTGTTCGATAGTTCCTTTTTTGTGGTGGCGGCTTTTCAAATCAATGCTGTGTGCAGTGGTGGTTGGGTGCTATTGTAGTGTTGGTGGTGTTATTGTGGTGGTGTTTTGGTGTTTGTTGGTGGTCCTGGTGGCTGTAATGGTTTCGGTGGTGGTCGTGTTGGCGGTGGAGACGATTATGTTGGTGAGGTTGTGGTGATGGCAGTGGTGGTTCTGATGATTTTTGTTGGCGGTGGTGTTGTGACGGTGGCGGGGTGGGATATTGATCTGTGACCAAGTATTTAACTGTGACCTAAAAATTTGACAATATGTGACTGAAAAATAATCTGTGACCAACAAATTTGAAAATATGTGACCAATGAAATTAACCATTTTTTTATCTGTGACCTAAAAATTATATAATCTGTGATCGTAAAAAATCTGTGACCAACTAATTTGGAAATCTGTGACCGTGTGACCTATAAATTTTGATCTGTGACCAACTAATTTTGAAATCTGTGACCAACGAATTAAATGTGACCTATAAAATTTTTGAACTGTAACCATAAAATAATCTGTGACGTATAAAAATTATTATTTGTGACTGAAAAATAATATGTGACTAATTAAATTACAAATTTGTGACCGGAATGATTGCCGGAATAGTCGCCGGAATGGTCGTCGGAATAGTCGCCTGAATGGTCGCCGGAATAGTCCCCGGAGCAGTAGGGGTGGTGCATGTGGGGTGGGTTTATTATATTATATTATATTAAAAAAAAAAACTTGATTTTTGAATTTTCAAACTATAAACATGATTTTTGAATTGATGTAAACTAAACACCTCATTTATGAATTTTTCCCTTATGTTTATGGCTTGTGTTTTGATAAAAGTAATTGGGCCAATTATTTAATTGGTTTGATTTTAGGGTGCGTTTGATTGCAAGGGTGGAAAATGGGTGGAAAGAAAATGTTTTAAAGGGAAAAGATTTGCTTAGAAAATGTTTTGCGGGGAAAATGAATTCAAGTGTGTTTGATTGGTATAATTTTCCACCCGAAAAATTTTTAAATTTTCTATTCGTTTGGCTGTGTTTTACATGAAAATTGTCCATTAAAGTGATATTTTTTTTCCACAATTGGTTATGAAATTTGTTTCCATTGCCAAAAAGTAAAAAAAAAAACAGGGAAAAAAAATTGTTTCTTAAAAAATCATTTTTTAAATCAAAGTTTAGTGTTCGTTTGACTTTGTTTTACATGAAATTTGTCCATTAAAGTGAATTTTTTTTACCATTAGTTATGACATCTGTTTCCATTGCAAAAAAAAAAAATAATAATAAAAAATTTTCCAGCTAGCCTGGAAAATAGTTTCCCACCAAAAAGGCGGGAAAACATTTTCATCAAAAACCCGAAAATTGCACACGTGTGGGGAAAATTCGGGAAATTTTTTCCGTGGAAAATTTCGCCTATCAAACAGACAAAAAAATGGAAAGTGGAAAATATTTTCCTACTTTCTCGGAAAATGTGACCTATCAAACACGGCCTTATTGTGGATTGTTTGCTTGTGTTGGCTGAATATTTTTATTTGGGCTATGGGTTTTGTTGGCTATTCGGTGTTTTGTTTTTGGGCCGCGAGAGTTGTTGGTGGCTTTTGTTTGGAGTTGGGTCTTTTCTCCTCTTAAGCTTGTTTGGATTTTTTCTTTAAGCTTTTGGTCATAGTAGTTTATCTGGAATTTGGTTTGCACATGTCCATTTTATCTGGGATTGGAATTTGGATTGGAAATTTGGTTTGGTATATACCCGGTTCACGGGATTCGGAATTTGGCTTGGTACATGTCCAGTTTATCTGGAATTTGGTTTGTTACATGTCCAGTTCATCTGAAATTTGATTTGGTATTGGTTCGGTGTATCTAGAATTTGAAATTTGTATCCAGTTCATTTGGTATTTGTAGAGCTGGAATTTGAAATTTGCATCCGTTTGGTTAGTTAGATTGATGGATGATGATTTTTCATTACCATCAATTTCGAGTTTTTTGTTTGGCTTGGTTGACATACAAGCAATTTTGAAGATTTGATTTCTGTAGACCAGCACTATTTCTCTACCTTTTGTCTCTTCATCGTTTCAGCTTGCTAACTTCTTCATGAAGTCACATCCGGTTCATCATTTTCGTTTCTTGCTTGGCAAACTCTCGATGCTTCTTGCAGCAGCATCATGAGTTTGAAGGGAGATGTTAAGAAATATAGGGTTATTTTATTTTATTGTTTATTAAGGGTAGAATAGTCTTTTCAATTTATTTTATTTAGCTTATATATAGTCTCTTTGTTTCTAGGTTAAATCATTCTTTTTGTATTCAATTGCATTATGTAGAATTAATAAAACCATAGCCTCCTTTTTCTTTTCTTTATTTTTTTGGATTGTTTTAACATATAGTAACGTCATACAAACCGGAATCAACTTTACTGTCTTCCAGATAAAACTCTGATGCATTGTACTTCAGATTGACTGTAGAACTTGACTGGCAGTAGGGCATTAACCTCCGAGAAACTGCTAGCTCATCAGTTTGTCCTCTTGTGTGAGGTTCCATCGGCATAACAGATGACTTTTCAAACTTAACATCCGCAATTGATCCTGACTTTCTGAAAGAGCTATCCAGATTAGTACCTGACGTGTACACATTGTCATGTTTCTATTTTTCTTGAATTTGACTTTCTTTTTCCTTTTAGCTACCACCTAGCATCAGACAGAACCCAACTCATTGAGCTCCTCAGTCCCTGAAATCGCTGAAGAGCCTAATGTAAACAGAACATCAGTATCTGGGATCAAAAGGTATCAATATGCAAATTATATGCAAAAACCAAGGAGAAAAGCCAAGTCTATATATGAGAAAGTACTTAAAAATAATTAAAGTTTTGAATAGAACTCTCTACTTACTTTCTGGGTGGCGATTTTGAATACAATCACTTTCAATCTTAAGTGCATGAACAATGGCATCATTTCTGTGAGCATATTTCACTGTCTTCTATGATGAACTAGATGCGGACTCCTTAGCTTTCTCAATGCATGAATCGAACTCTCCGCAATGATAAACTTTTACTATTTTTGATGCATCGTGATTATACCAGCCCCTGAAAGAAATTTGGCAATAACTTAAGTAATCTAAGGATCATTTAAGAAAAATAAAAAGTGACTGGAAAAAGAAATTAGGTAATCGCTGAACAGCAAGCGCAAAATAAACCAACACTACTAAATATTGATATACAGGGAATGGAAATTTTTGTGGATAGTTCTAAATATTGCATATCAACTTGTCCTTCAAAAGGTCACTGGCAAGCTTCACCAGGTTTTTATGAAACAATAATTTACTTGAGTACATACATTTAACCTTAGCCAAACATGATCTAAAAATAGACTCATCTTCTCAGGATAACAAAGCCTGTTGTATCACTGGTACCAAATAATATTATTTTGAAGCCTGAGCTAAAATACTTAAAACTAGTTTCCTCGTGATATTTAAACTCATACTTAATGTAAAAAGACACAATGAACATGCTTAAAAGTGATAGCACCTTCTGCACCATTAACATTCCTAGCTCGTTGATTGCCAATGATACAAGGAAAACAATTATTATTAAATACGACAAAATGGTAAAAAAATTATTGACAATGATACAACAGAAACAATGATTGCCGAATATGACAAAATTTTACAAACATTTCTTCCATGACGAGAAACAATAATAGGGTGCAACTAATTTCCGGGTATGGAGTCATGACACAGCACATGAAGAGAATAAAATAAAATAAAATTCTTGTTTTATATAGAATAACAAATATTTGATCCTTACCATTTGTCAAATAAAGTAACCAAAATTGATATGTTTTAGCAATGAAGCAATAACTGAATGAGTCACTTTGCGTGATTTTAATATAAAATGAAACTATTATCTCACTGCTATACTATGCATAGTAACAGAGGATTGTATGGATAACTAAATAAAAATTCTAACCTTTAAATGTGAAGAATGATTAAATTATAATCACAAAAAGAACGTAATGGTATCGACATTTCTTGACGAAATGAAGGGACTAAAAGAGGCACTTACAAACTTGCATCTCTCCCAAGGAGCTTTACAGGTGTCCCTGGTCTTGGCACAGGCAATGTAGTCTTGGGCAATTCATCTGGGCTGACAATCTGACCTGGCCACCAGTACCCATTTTGCCTTCGGACCCAAACCAAACCACCCACTGATGCATCAATGGCCTTCTTTTTGTCATGAGCAGGATGACCTATTTTCTTCAATTCTGAAAAAAAAATGGGGGCGATGAAACATTATGTAAAATAGAAGTCATTGCACTCACTCAGTGAACTCCATAACAATCTCAAACCCAACAAGAAACGCACCCATCCTCTCTGAAAAAAAAAGGGGGGGGAAGCTTAAATGACATTGAGAAAAAACCAGATGAAGACCGAAACGAAAGGAAAGATTAAAAAGAAGTTTCAAAGTTTAAGAAAGAAGAACAAGGAAAATTGATTTTGTAATAAAAAAAAAA